AAAGACAAAACAGATCAGAAATTTCAATATTAAAATGAGATTATAAATTTGTTCTACACTTTGATAATAGCATCGAATACGCCGTGCAGCCTCTAATTCTTCTCATTTTCAGCTTCTGATTCTTTAGCTTCTGTCCCATTTCACCCTAGAATAAAATTTTTCCTGATGTTGCCTGATAGCACCAGAACATGTAAATGGTTTGTTGCAGTTTGGCTTCATGGGGCAAGTGATACGCATTTTTGTATCGAATATCGATTGAATTTTACGTTGCTGCTCCATGGTCACGAGAATATTTCGCACCATATTTTCTTATACATTCGACTATTGCAGATAGAAAAAACATGCTTGAAATTTTGTTAAATTTGCGAAACTAACGAAATGTTCCGGAGTACATCTTCATGCATCTTTTCAAGTTGCTCTTGTTGCTGAAGGACTGTTACAGTTTTCACATTGGTGTTTAGGTTGATGTGTTTCACTGTAAGAGGCAAACGATGAATGGTTGAAAGTTCGTCCACAATCGGATCGTTTGTGTTTGTAAGTGAATGGTTCGTCGTGCGTTTTCTTGCATTTTCTATATACATCGCGATTCTCAGAGCTCGCATTGCATCCGATATGAGGACATTCACGATTTTGTTCTGAAAAAACTCCTCTTATAATATTTGTATTTGTAATTAGCACTCCATTACTGTAGTTGCTAAATAATTAATGTAATTTGAAAATTGATCCTGGTAATGCACAAAATGGGCTTATCACATCATATTTCATTTGAATTACTAGAAAATGTTCACTTTTTTGGCATATATTAGGGACAAAAAGTTTTCCTTAATGAACGGATATCGTAGAGCAGATAACTGCGAATTTTCTGCAGTAACGAAATCAGTTTCGTTCTTAATTGCTTGTAACCTGATTTTCACAGGATTGAATGAACTATATGAGTCGGAAGAAAATGTCATTGTGTAATATTTCACCATTTATTCCCGGTAATTCTCCACCTGTATTGCGTGTACTGATATCTAAATTAAACAGTAAAAAATTGCAGATGAATCCTGGAAAGTCAACGGTTATTCCCAGCAATCCTCGATCAGTATTTTCCGATTTGATATTACAAGTGAAACCGTCGGTGATTTCCTGGTATTGGTCATTTGAGTTATAACCAGGATATTGAATATATTGGATGGTGTGATCGTCACCGCCGTGCGCTTTCTTGCGTTTTCTATTTTCATCGCTATTGTCAAAGCTCGCGCACATCCGGCATGAGGACGCTTATGACTTTGCTCTTCTGAAAAACTCCTCTTATAACATTTGCATTTGCAATTAGCTTTCTATTATTTGCCAATTAATTAATGTAATTTGAAAACTGATCATAAAAATATCAATGCCATAAAATAAGCATATAACATCGGATTTCACTTGAACTACTAGAAACTATTCCTTTATTCTTATATATTCTTATATAAAAGTAAAAGGTTCATCTTAATGTTACCTCCTGTTATTTCTCCATAAATATTATATTCACTGGTATCTGGATTTAGGCGTGCTAAATTGCGGTTGTCAATGCAGTTTTGAAAGGTGTTGAAAAAAAAAATGTGTTGGATCCACTGTCACGATTTTGCATGTAAACATGTTTCAATGGAAATTTTATTTAAATAAATATTTATTACATTGCTCACATATCTATATATATTGGCAAATTCTGTAGATTTGATATGAATAGACATGTTTAATGATTAGGTAAGAATGAAGTATTAGAGAATAGGAGAGAAATAAACTTGTTGAAGAGAAACGAACAATTTTACAGGTAGGAATGAGATCTAATTCTATATTAGCAGATAAGATTTATTCAAAGATTATCAACATCTTGAAATGTCTCTTGAATTGTGCAGCATCTTGAATTGCGAATACCTATATTTAATAGCAATCATAGTAATTAATTAGTAAACTAATTCGTAAATTATAACGAAATCTATAGTTATGGAGTGGGAACTGTTTTCAAATTATCAAATTCAGTTATCGAATTGCTGACTGAAATAGTAAAATTCGGAAAATAAGAACTGTTTCAAATTTTCTGTTTAATTTAAACAGCAAATTACAAATGAAATCCATGATGGAAAGATGGGAAACGATTCTATGGACTAAATGGTATAATTGGTGGTCGTTCAAGGTGAAAGGTGAAAAAAGAGAATATCTTTGAAATATTCTCCTAAAGAATATAAGGGAACTGCCAAAATTTGCAATGAATTTATGCAATCAATCGATCAGTTAGTTTTTATTGCAACAAAAAACAACAAAAAAACAACCAGTGAGTAAGTTTTGAGCAAAATTTATTTACTGAATAAATGAAAAACAGAATATTATGGAGATTTGATATGCTTCTGCTGATTATTTCATCAAATACATAAAGTGTTTTGGTGATATTTTGATATCATTTTCCCATTTCTTGCTTTTTCTGGGCTAAAAAATCTCATAAATTATTAAATATACGTTATGCAAAAAAAAATGCCATAGCAAATTCCATAGCAAATTACAAATGAAATCCATAAGAGTAACATAGGAATTAATTTTGAATATGGACTATATAATATGATTATTATACATTAAAGGTGAGATAGTAGAAGTCAGACTGATGATGAAAAAATATATTTCAGGCTATGTTTCTTAGTCTTATAACAAGCCGCAAGCAATGTTATATTTAAGATCGAATCTATCAATGGCAATCTGATCAAATATGATTGTTTATATGTTAAGCATTTAGCTGATCACTATCAAAAAGCACACAATGCCGAATAACCTATCAGCTAATATCGATCTAATAAATAGCTTTTCTAACAGTTTAACTTGCAGAAATAAAATGTCTCAAAATTGCAATGGAGTAATTAGACTGTTTGGTTCATTCAGACTTAATAAGAACTATTGTGCATCCAAAGTGAGTAAAAAATAAATAAATAAATAAATAAACTAAAAGAACCAAAATAAAATAAAAAACATAGCTCACATTTCTGTGAATAATTTACAATTATTTTCAGTGATGTGAAGAATTGCTGAAGATTTAATGTTCAACATAGCTTGCCTTTGAAATGGGTTTAAAGGATATGTCATCTTGGAGATGAAAGTTTGACATATGTATGATTCATGAAATATTTTAAAGTTATATGCGAGTAAATGACAAACCACGTCCCTTAACGTTGTAACGCTCAATTCGTATTCTTTCCAAGAATTCCCTGGTTAAAATCGGTCTCACAGGCTTGCTTTTAGCTAATTGATACAGTTTGTAGTTCCGAATTTCGATTGTAACCATTACGCAGCTGATAACAATTGATAGTACCGCCCCCAGTATCAGTATCGCATCAATCTGAAACGTTTCGAATAGAGTAACGATTTCTCGAAATTCTTACTGTAGTTAAAGATCGCATGAAAGATCGCCTAAAGATCGCCCTAAAGATCTTTTCCCTAAAGATCACATGAAGGATATAGCGAATGACTTCCATCAATTTTCAGTAGCAAGTCTCCCATTTTAAT